CCATTTTGGGATTACCCTTCACAAACACAATCTTAGATGAAGTGGGGGTGGTGTTCTCATTAGTATAGCCTAGGTCTCTTTTTTCACCCACACCCTTCTCTATAGAGAACGTTTAATTCAACTTTTCTATGCTTTAAGAAAGTCTATTTGAGAGTTCTTGCGATTCGTGAAAGTCTCTATCTAGTTCGACAAGTTTAAATCTAGACCCTTCTTTGACTCTAAAAGCTCATTGTGCTTACTCTCAAAAAAGCTCAATTTATCTATGAGATACTTCTTCTCTTCCTCAAGCCCACAAATATAAACTTTGGACTTCACTAAGTCCACATGAAGTGTTTTTTTATCTTCTTCACTCATTTTGAGCATCGTGCCCATTGAAAGCAACATCTTCTTTTATTTTAAGACATTCCTCATATAATTGATTGTATGCATCTTGGAGGTCCTCAATACTCTCAATCTCATCCTCACTGGTAGAGACTTCAACATTCGAGTCATCTACCTTCTGGTAGGACTTGACTCAATTTTCANAATATAAACTTTGGACTTCACTAAGTCCACATGAAGTGTTTTTTTATCTTCTTCACTCATTTTGAGCATCGTGCCCATTGAAAGCAACATCTTCTTTTATTTTAAGACATTCCTCATATAATTGATTGTANTCTTGAGCATCGTACCATTGAAAGCAACATCTTCTTTTATTTTAAGACATTCCTCATATAATTGATTGTATGCATCTTGGAGGTCCTCAATACTCTCAATCTCATCCTCACTGGTAGAGACTTCAACATTCGAGTCATCTACCTTCTGGTAGGACTTGACTCAATTTTCAAACTAGAAGTTTCTCTTAAGGGGAGGCATATGAATCAAAGAAGGCTGTAAAATTCTCTTCACCACTTTGAGAAAAGTAGCCATCACCCCATATTGACTCACTTTAACTCTCAGTCACCTTTGTCTTTAAGTCTCTCNACACCAGAAGTTTCTCTCAAGGGGAGGCATATGAATCAAAGAAGGCTGTAAAATTCTCTTCATCACTTTGAGAAAAGTAGTCATCACCCCATATTGACTCACTTTAACTCTCAGTCACCTTTGTCTTTAAGTCTCTCCTCCTTTCTTTGGGCATGCCATTTTTCTTTGCACTTGGACATTCCACAGCCACATATCCAAAACCATGATATTTGTAGCATTGAAGACCTTGCATTTTCTTCTCAATTTCTTGTTGAGAAGTTTTACCTCCTGTCTTTTGCCTCTTTAGGAGCTTGAGGTCTACTAGCTTTCCTTTCGACCTTGAGGACTCAACACCATGAACCTTAAAGGATCTTTTGAATTTTCTAGCAAGATAGGCTATGTCCTCTTCTCCTAATCAGGGTGACTCAGATTTACCTCCTTCTTTTGTTGAGCTCAAGGCTACACCCTTCACTTTCTTAGGTGTGAAGAGGTTTATCTTGAAAGTCAATATCAACCCCTACTAGGTCTTTGATCAACACTGAAGCCATGTTGACACTCATTTACAAGGAGGTCACTTTAGTACAAAATATCTCCGGTAGTGATCTCAAAATTTTTTATTTAATGGCGGCACCATCGATTTTGGTACCTAATGCGAAGGAAGAATTCACAATATCGCACAACTTAGCATAAAAATTAGCTAAATGTTCTTCCTCTTGCATCCTCAAAGTTTCAAACTGAGGTGTATCATTGGAGATTAGACATCTTGACCATTGAAGTTCCCTCGTGAGATACCACAAGAATTTCCCATGTCTACTTGGAGGTTTGCACAATTAACTATCCTCCAAAATTCATTCGATGTCANCATTGGAGATTAGACATCTTGACCATTGAAGTTCCCTCATGAGATACCACAAGAATATCTCATGTCTACTTGGAGGTTTGCACAATTAACTATCCTCCAAAATTCATTCGATGTCACCAGATTGAATATCGCATTCAAACCTCTTAAGTTCCACCCTACTTGTTCGATCTCGGCTTTAATCCAAATCTTTGGATATTTTTTCAACCACCGTATCACTACCTTCAACCGGAATGGTGGTGATATAAGGGCTCCAACCCTCTTGCACACATACACATTCTCTCTCATCTATTGATTTTAGAAACAATCTCAAGCGAGCTTTTCGATATGCAAAGTTAGACCCATCAAAGAGAGGTGGTCATGGAATTGNGTATCACTACCTTCAACCGGAATGGTGGTGATATAAGGGCTCCAACCCTCTTGCACACATACACATTCTCTCTCATCTATCGATTTTAGAAACAATCTCATGCGAGCTTTTCGATATGCAAAGTTAGACCCATCAAAGAGAGGTGGTCATGGAATTGAACTTCCTTCCTTTTGAGACTCCATTCAATACTAACTAGTAATAATAATATATCTTTAGGAAGAAAACAAACTAGGTAAGCAATTACAAAATATGCTTACAATGCGTCTAATGCAACTCAAAACAACCACACTTTGACACCAATTGTTGTTGTGGGAGGGAAAGATATGAAGTGGATATTCCCTTATTATTGTATAAGTGGATTGCATGACATTACCTAGAGGGAGGTGAATAGGTTTTCAAACTTTATATTTAGACAAACACCAATNAGAGATATGAAGTGGATATTCCCTTATTATTGTATAAGTGGATTGCATGAGATTACCTAGAGGGAGGTGAATAGGTTTTCAAACTTTATATTTAGACAAACACCAATTTAAACCTATTACTACCTCAATTACCTCTTCTCACAAAGTTTGTTCAATTAATAGTTAGAAACCCCTTTCAACCACAACGACCTCTTGAACTCATAAAGATTAGTATATTAATTTTATTAATTAATTACTCAACACTTAATCTCTCACGGGAATCCCAACCAAAGACCTAAACCCTTGATACACAATTATGGATGTTAAAAATGTTCAATCAATCATTCAATCAAACACATAGTGCGCTTGTATACTCAAATTGCCAGTGTATATGAAATAATAAAGATTCACACATGCAATTTGTTGATATAGAAATCCTTTCCAAGAAAAATAGCGACAAACCACTAAGGATTCACCAAAAGCATAATCCACTACCCCAAAGTTAGCCTACAAGTATTGGAGATTTATACTTCAAGTAATACCATGGTTAGACGCTCATTTCCTTCAATAAACCTCTCCACCGGATTATCGATGTCTTGGATAGCTTAACTTGGATTCTCCATCACAATAGATCCTCTAGGCCTCGAGCAATCTTCTCCATTAAGATTCTCAATATGCACATTTCCCATGGGTTTAGTCTTTAACCAAGCAAGCTCTTCTTCTCCAATGTGTGAAATTGAATGGGAATCACAAGATGGAAGTCTTTGAATTTAGGGATCTAGGTTTGTGATATGATCTCTAAGGTTTAAGAGGCAAGAATTTAGCTCACAAAAGAGATACCCTATGTTGGGAAAGAATTTTCTATTTATAGGCTCAAAATAGGATTTGTCTTGGAAGCCAAGAAAATACAAATTCACAAACGACCACTTGAGCAATAGGAGGGCGGTCAGAGGGCGATGTTCACTGGAATGAAAACTGAATTCTAAACCGACCTAAGAGAGCAAGACTGGCTGAGCAACCTTTGAGACCACTCGAGAAACCAAAGGACGATACTTGCTACTCCTCCGTTTAGCTTTTACCTGATTTTTTCCTAAGTCATGAATAGACCACTTTAGCGATGGCTAGCGAGCATAAGAAACTTCTTACTGTTTTTTAAGCCTAAAATCAATTAAAAAAACTTGTCCTCTTGAACACTAAAAGTCTTTGCTCAAGAGAGGTATGATAATGACTTAAATCTAAATTTTCAAAACACACAAAAGGTGTAAAAAAAAATTATTTGAACACGTAGAAGCCATACTCAAATCAATTACCAATTCCATTTTAACACTAATCCTCCTAAGTCAATTAAAGCAATGAATCATCTTAGGTCTCTAGGACATTACCTTATCCTAAGCAAGGTGCATACAAAGTGCTTTTGATGTAACTTTGACACATGATCTCCTCTCCCTTCAAATAATGATTTCAAATCTTCATCGTTGTAACATCTTGACTATGGAATAAGTTGAAATTTACAAAGACTACACAAAATTAACTAATTACAAAATATGATATAATGGTCTTCTTACCTCCAAAGGCTAGGCTTTTTTGGAAGTGATGCTTGAACTTGAACTTATTTGTCTTCTTGGGCTCTTATGACTATAATATGATGTTAGAAAAAATATGTTTAAAATAAGGACATATCCCCTTATGTGTATGAATAAAAGAAAAAACAAAAATACCAAAGTCAAATAAAAGAAATGCAATGCTTAAATGCAGTTCACAAAGATTCTGAATTTATGTGTTCAATGTGTATTGGTTGCAAGCATAGTTTTAAAATCAGGCTCGGACATGAACTTGGCAAAGGGATCAGATCAATGGATTACTGGTTCAACCGTTAGATCACTAGTCGGACCGGTGATATAATAAAAATATAATAAATTATTATTAATTATAATAAATATGCTAAAAATTTATTTATAAAAATAACATGATTAATGTACATGAGATCAAACAAACACTCAAAATTTATCCAAGATGTATCCAATGCATCTAATTTTCAACAAAGTTTACAAAGCTAGGTATAGCCATAAAAGAAAAAGCTGATTTCTAAAAAACACAGATCTACCGTATTATATGTACATGAGAATCAAAGATATAGTCAACAGGTTGCACAATACCAAAAAAAAAAAAAAAAAATGAGCCACATGATAAAAATAACACATGTTGTCTACCTGAGAAACCCCCAACCCCTACCAGCTCACCCCACCCCCACCCACCATGTTGTAAACTTGCATACTTCCATCTAAATATGGCTTCAAATCGGAGAAGAAATCTTTATAGTTGCTATTTTTATCATGTGGATGTTCAGCGAGTGGTGAAACTAACGAAAAAAATGGAGTTAGAGACATGAGAATGCAGAGAAGAAAGAATGAGATTGATCCCAAACCCAGGTTGATCCCAAACCTAGGTTAGTCGAAGATGGTGGTGGTGACTGTTGCTTGTTGTGATGATCAAGACTTCGAAAGAGGGAGATAAGTGATGCGAGGGCTGCACCATCATCATCGCTATCTAGGAGATGAGCGACGTGAGGACTGCTGTCCGAGGGAGATTTAATCAACGAATTATGGCAAAAATGCCCAAATGTCCAAAAGAAATCTGATTTTATAACCTTTTAACTGAACCGACCAGGTAAATAAAAACCGCCCGCTTCGAGCCAGTTAGCCAAAAACCGCCCAGTTCAATGGATTTTGTCAAGGTTTTATGCTTAAACAATCTAAACACTTAACCAGCCCGGTTCAGTGTCCAAGTCACCAGATTTCCAGGTCAANAAAGGGCGATGTTCACTGGAATGAAAACTGAATTCTAAACCGACCTAAGAGAGCAAGACTGGCTAAGCAACCTTTGAGACCACTCGAGAAACCAGAGGACGATACTTGCTACTCCTCCGTTTAGCTTTTACCTGATTTTTTCCTAAGTCATGAATAGACCACTTTAGCGATGGCTAGCGAGCATAAGAAACTTCTTACTGTTTTTTAGGCCTAAAATCAATTAAAAAAACTTGTCCTCTTGAACACTAAAAGTCTTTGCTCAAGAGAGGTATGATAATGACTTAAATCTAAATTTTCAAAACACACAAAAGGTGTAAAAAAAAATTATTTGAACACGTAGAAGCCATACTCAAATCAATTACCAATTCCATTTTAACACTAATCCTCCTAAGTCAATTAAAGCAATGAATCATCTTAGGTCTCTAGGACATTACCTTATCCTAAACAAGGTGCATACAAAGTGCTTTTGATGTAACTTTGACACATGATCTCCTCTCCCTTCAAATAATGATTTCAAATCTTCATCGTTGTAACATCTTGACTATGGAATAAGTTGAAATTTACAAAGACTACACAAAATTAACTAATTACAAAATATGATATAATGGTCTTCTTACCTCCAAAGGCTAGGCTTTTTTGGAAGTGATGCTTGAACTTGAACTTATTTGTCTTCTTGGGCTCTTATGACTATAATATGATGTTAGAAAAAATATGTTTAAAATAAGGACATATCCCCTTATGTGTATGAATAAAAGAAAAAACAAAAATACCAAAGTCAAATAAAAGAAATGCAATGCTTAAATGCAGTTCACAAAGATTCTGAATTTATGTGTTCAATGTGTATTGGTTGCAAGCATAGTTTTAAAATCAGGCTCGGACATGAACTTGGCAAAGGGATCAGATCAATGGATTACTGGTTCAACCGTTAGATCACTAGTCGGACCGGTGATATAATAAAAATATAATAAATTATTATTAATTATAATAAATATGCTAAAAATTTATTTATAAAAATAACATGATTAATGTACATGAGATCAAACAAACACTCAAAATTTATCCAAGATGTATCCAATGCATCTAATTTTCAACAAAGTTTACAAAGCTAGGTATAGCCATAAAAGAAAAAGCTGATTTCTAAAAAACACAGATCTACCGTATTATATGTACATGAGAATCAAAGATATAGTCAACAGGTTGCACAATACCAAAAAAAAAAAAAAAAAATGAGCCACATGATAAAAATAACACATGTTGTCTACCTGAGAAACCCCCAACCCCTACCAGCTCACCCCACCCCCACCCACCATGTTGTAAACTTGCATACTTCCATCTAAATATGGCTTCAAATCGGAGAAGAAATCTTTATAGTTGCTATTTTTATCATGTGGATGTTCAGCGAGTGGTGAAACTAACGAAAAAAATGGAGTTAGAGACATGAGAATGCAGAGAAGAAAGAATGAGATTGATCCCAAACCCAGGTTGATCCCAAACCTAGGTTAGTCGAAGATGGTGGTGGTGACTGTTGCTTGTTGTGATGATCAAGACTTCGAAAGAGGGAGATAAGTGATGCGAGGGCTGCACCATCATCATCGCTATCTAGGAGATGAGCGACGTGAGGACTGCTGTCCGAGGGAGATTTAATCAACGAATTATGGCAAAAATGCCCAAATGTCCAAAAGAAATCTGANAGGAGATGAGCGACGTGAGGACTGCTGTCCGATGGAGATTTAATCAACGAATTATGGCAAAAATGCCCAAATGTCCAAAAGAAATCTGATTTTATAACCTTTTAACTGAACCGACCAGGTAAATAAAAACCGCCCGCTTCGAGCCAGTTAGCCAAAAACCGCCCAGTTCAATGGATTTTGTCAAGGTTTTATGCTTAAACAATCTAAACACTTAACCAGCCCGGTTCAGTGTCCAAGTCACCAGATTTCCAGGTCAATCTGTCAAGCCGGACCAGATTTTAAAACACTGGTTGCAAGATATGTAATTTTTGTCATCAAGCAATAAATTTTCAATTTCAAATTTTCAAATCAAATTGTTAGTTGCATTTCTATCTTATTTCAATTATTTGCTGTATTATTTTTTTGACCATAAATAGTATTCTACATTTCTCTATTTCCAAAATATATTGAGGAACATGCTATGGTAATTATTCTGAACTATCGGCAGCTCTTAAGCGATAATTTCAAAACAAAAACTATTCAAATGCAACAAGGGAAAACACAAGTATAAATCAAGAGGCTGCATTACTCAATATTGATGTGCAGCTCCGATTTGAAGCCAGCTAAGTTCTGAACTTGCTACTGGCAGGTCTTGTTGTTCGGTTTTTTCAGTGACCAAATTGGATGATTATACATCCTGGCCGGAACTTGACATCTTTGTTGCAGGTGGAGCAGAACAGACTGGTACAACTGATCTGATTTGAACAGCGGGAGCCATAAAAGGAGAAGGGCCTCTGGATACAATACTTGGCGTAGCAGAATATGGAGGAATTCCAGTTTTCATTGTCGGTATAGTTGGCATACAATGTCTGGGAGAGCCTGTAGTTCTGAGCCTCAAAGGAGCTGGTGCAGATGAAGGTGATTCAGAAATTCTTTGACAACTTGGGCTTGGAGAATGATGGGGTCTAGGGATAGATTGACGAGAGTGACAACCATATGGGTTTACTGGTTGGAACTCAACAGGGTGAAATCTAGACTCCGTGCTCTTAGGAGCCACCCATTCAAAGTGTCCTGTTAGGTTCCTATCTAGTTCACCAGAATCTCCAATTTTGGCTCCTAACCCACCACCTTTCTGTTCATCCTCCCAATCTGGTTCCTGGATTATGGATTCCATCTTACAATCACCAAGAATAGGGGAATCAAGAACTTCAGATGGACAAGATGACCCTTCTGTTTTCTCCTCATGTATCTCCTGAAGGGTCACCATGGACCTAGTTGGGGAAGCAATTGTAGCTCCAGGTCCCAAAGGATTAAACTCTTGCTCCCTTGCCACAAAATATAGGTAGTTGGGCTGGAAAATAGGCTGCATAAACGGAAGAACATGAGGATTGAGTAGAGCACCTGATGGATTTGGCAATGATAGCAGGTGATTTTGCAGTTGTAACAACTGTGCTTGTTGCCATAATGGATACATTGTCCTTTCAGAGGGGAAACTTGTGTAAGCACAACATTCAGGGTATAAGCTTGATCCTGCTGGATTTGGTTGCCTGCATGTACGAATAGATCTCTGTTGGTAGTTTTGTTTAGAGTTATTGGATTCCAGTGGTTGTAAACGAGCAAGAACACGAGCAATAACAACTTGTTCCTGTTCCTCACAGCCTTCAGACTCCGAGGAAGGAATGGAAGGCGAAGTTGAAGAAGATGAGCTGCGCCGTGCCACTAAAAGAGAACATAAAAAGAAATTAAAACCATAAAAAACATCAAAGCCATTTCTTTAGACTAAGAAATAGCCAATAATGACAAGAAGTATGGGCAAGAAAAAAATAAGGAAATTTTAGCATATGAAAAGTGAGCTGGTTTTCTGGAATGATAGTCGGCAATTAAAGTACACCAAAAAACAAAAATATGGAATTCCTTCCTTTTCTCTGTTGGAGTACGTTCATCATTACCTATCCATTAAAAAAGCAAACCTTCTATATTTATCAACTATTGTGTAGGAAACCAGATATTCAACTTTTTAATTAGGCAAGGCATCAAAACTAATGTATGTTTCCTTCTATTCTCTTAAATTGAAAATCTCCCAAGGAGAACCATTACTTAAATATTTGACAGGCAAATGGCGGTCCTAGTATCAGAGCTCAAGGAAGAGAGTTCCAATGTGGGTGTGTGAGCAAGTGAGTGAGTGAGTGAGAGAGAGGGAGAAAGAGCTTTGTTATATACTAAGGGGCCAAAAAAAGTGTTAATCAACACTAAGCTTCTTAGCTGAAAAAGATTGACAAAATGCAATTATGAAAATCCATTTTAGTACCACAAACCAATAAACAGGCACAATTAAGCCATCAACATAACATATTGCTTATGTCTTATCATATATTTGACAGTTCTTAGAATTTCAGCTTTGCTTGGAAAAAAAAAGAGTTACAATGTTCATTGTGAGTAAAAGCCTTGTCAACAAATTTGTGGAAAAAAAAATTAATAATATTCCTTGAATAAATGACATCTCAGCCAATTAAATTCACAACCAATCAGATCCATGAGTGAACAACCAATACCTCTGAACCAAACAAGCAGCTGGAACTTTCTATGACCCAAGGTAGACATACTACGGATATTTTCATTAGCAGGTGCTCCATTTGGGTAGGAAGTTGTATATACTTATATGGGATTTTTCCTTTATAAACTCCATGATAAATTCATGAATAATTTAAGTTTTGCACCTCCCACAATTCATACTACTAGAGGATCGATTTGAAGGGGCTCCAAGGAAAAGCCAAGATATATGAAAAATATCAGGTCAGGTGCATGATACCATTCAATTTCTTATTAAATTAACAATAAAAAAAATACATACATTGATAATATTCCTTGAATAAATGACATCTCAGCCAATTAAATTCACAACCAATCAGATCCATGAGTGAACAACCAATACCTCTGAACCAAACAAGCAGTTGGAACTTTCTATGGCCCAAGGTAGACATACTACGGATATTTTCATTAGCAGGTCCTCCATTTGGGTAGGAAGTTGTATATATTTATATGGGATTTTTCCTTTATAAACTCCATGATAAATTCATGAATAATTTAAGTTTTGCACCTCCCACAATTCATACTACTAGAGGATCGATTTGAAGGGGCTCCAAGGAAAAGCCAAGATATATGAAAAATATCAGGTCAGGTGCATGATACCATTCAATTTCTTATTAAATTAACAATAAAAAAAATACATACATTGATAATATTCCTTGAATAAATGACATCTCAGCCAATTAAATTCACAACCAATCAGATCCATGAGTGAACAACCAATACCTCTGAACCAAACAAGCAGTTGGAACTTTCTATGGCCCAAGGTAGACATACTACGGATATTTTCATTAGCAGGTCCTCCATTTGGGTAGGAAGTTGTATATATTTATATGGGATTTTTCCTTTATAAACTCCATGATAAATTCATGAATAATTTAAGTTTTGCACCTCCCACAATTCATACTACTAGAGGATCGATTTGAAGGGGCTCCAAGGAAAAGCCAAGATATATGAAAAATATCAGTTCAGGTGCATGATAGAATTCAATTTCTTATTAAATTAACTATAAGAAAAATACATACATTGTTTCAGGACAGACCAAGCAGCAATGGCTGCATNGGTCAGGTGCATGATACCATTCAATTTCTTATTAAATTAACAATAAAAAAAATACATACATTGATAATATTCCTTGAATAAATGACATCTCAGCCAATTAAATTCACAACCAATCAGATCCATGAGTGAACAACCAATACCTCTGAACCAAACAAGCAGCTGGAACTTTCTATGACCCAAGGTAGACATACTACGGATATTTTCATTAGCAGGTGCTCCATTTGGGTAGGAAGTTGTATATACTTATATGGGATTTTTCTTTTATAAAGTCCATGATAAATTCATGAATAATTTAAGTTTTGCACCTCCCACAATTCATACTACTAGAGGATCGATTTAAAGGGGCTTCAAGGAAAAGCCAAGATATATGAAAAATATCAGTTCAGGTGCATGATAGAATTCAATTTCTTATTAAATTAACTATAAGAAAATTACATACATTGTTTCAGGACAGACCAAGCAGCCATGGCTGCATTTTTCTGAGCCTGTCTCTTGGTCTTAGCAGGTTCCCCTGAAAAGCTGAGTCCTGCGAGCTCAACCGTGCATGAGAAAACAGGTACACGACCAGGTCCAGCTCTAACAGTTGTATAGGCAGGAAGATTTAACCCAGCTCTGTGAGCTGTCTCCTGAAGTAAATTCTTGTAAACTCCGGTTTCATCCTATGCACCAAAAAAAGAAGAAGAAGACCGAAAGAAAAAATATCATCTTTTATGGGTCACTGATGTAGCATGTAATTCAGACAAGCTGGTAGGGTATTATATGTGTAACCCTGATCAAACGAAAGAGCACGGAGTTCAAAACCCGTAAATAAGGGGAGGAGGGGTACAATAATCTTCTAGGTCGTGTTCCTAATCTGTGGCGTGTGCATATATACAAATATAAAGGTAGTGAGTGGTAGGTTTACTTAAACTAAGACCTCTCTTCTATTTTCCACAAACCCCAACTCCAATATAGTATCAAAGCAATAATTTTAAGAATTTATCACTACTAAACTGATACTCATTTACAAACTGTTTCTTTATTTATTCAGTGTTTGTTTTTTCTCTAAGTTAATTTTATTGTTCTTTCTCTAAGTTAATTTTCAATGTGTAATTGTATGCTCTGTTCATCTGCGTCCAGTGGAATGGTGACCTATCATGATGATTGATGTTGCAGTGATGAATTGAATCTGGTTGCGAATGTCATTGTGGTTCAATGTGTTTGGGGTGTTTAAATAGTTGAAAGTTATCCAGACTTTGAAATAAACATTGCACTGTGTTGTCATCATGAGCAGAGCAATGGATGTCATCAGAGAGTTGCATTGCGCTACTAGTATGATTTGGAAGAGATGGGCATTTCGTTGTGGGTATGTTGTGGAAATATCAAGGTTAGTAAGCTATTCGGATTATTCCTGCAGGGTTTATGAGGGTTTTTAATTGGTTTTGTGTTTTATTTATGGTTGGGTGATGTTTAACCCCAGTCATCCGATTTGGGTTACATTGGCCCAAGAGGCCTAGTTTAGGTCAACCGAGGTGGGTCCAACCCAATCTTAGCCAGTTCAGCCTTGGTTTTCAGAGTTGGTTTATCTTTACTTATCGGTTTTTGGACCATTTAGTACCTTGTTCTCTATGATGGTTCGGTGGATTCACCCCTGGTTCAGTGTATTTCAGAGCTGTTTTAGTGGTTTTAACCCTGCTTCAGATTCCAGAGCGGGTTCAATTGTTTTAGTGTCAGTTCAATGTGTTTCAGAGCTGGTTCAGTTGTTTAAGTTAGTTCAGATTTTGTTCTTTTGATCTTCTGGTTGGTTCAGGCTTCTATCCTTTTTATTCCAGCTTGGTCTGAATTTTTCAGTCNTGTCAGTTCAATGTGTTTCAGAGCTGGTTCAGTTGTTTAAGTTAGTTCAGATTTTGTTCTTTTGATCTGCTGGTTGGTTCAGGCTTCTATCCTTTTTATTCCAGCTTGGTCTGAATTTTTCAGTCTTGTTTCGGGATACTGAACGTTGGTTCATCATGAAATTACTACTATGCCTTTAATGCCCCTATGACCTATGTCAAAGTCAGCATAGTAATCATGTTTGTGGGAAGAGTCGATCGAGGTGTTTCTGAAGGCAAAAGGTTTTTGTAGTCATTTAGTGGTAGATAAACCCAATCAGAGACTCCAATTTTGGTTTACGGGAACAAGAGGATATACAAATTATAGAATTCATGTTGAACAACAATGAATGTCATAAATTTTGGTTTGAAAATAGCTGTCTCCGTATAAGTCCATCACATCTGATGTGTCACTTGTTCAGCAGCAACACCAAGATTTTAATGTTAAAACCACAGAACAAACCAATTCGGCCACAAATATTCAGCAGTTCAACAATTTCTTCTGTTCTGATTTTTTCTTAGGCTTCAATGCACTACATTGTCCAATAATAACCCTCACCATCCCATCTGTAACATAAATAGATCAACTTTGGCTGCATCATATATTAATCATAATGGTCTCCATGAAAACCAAGGTTTCCGTGGAGACCATAGGGGAAGAGGAGTCCAAGGACAGAGAGNTAGTCTTCGTGAAAACCAAGGTTTCCGTGGAGACCATAGGGGAAGAGGAGTCCAAGGACAGAGAGAAGGTTGTGATTTTCATTGGTGTACTCACCATAACTGCACCAACCATAGGTTGCATTATTGTTGGGACCTACATGGTAAACCAACTGCGTATACTCATCAGGCATTGCATCAAGAGAATACCCCTCTGATGTTTCATACCTCTACAGTTCTACCATCTACGCATACCCCTACTTCAGATTTGATCATTATACCATGAGATGAGTTCGGTCATGGAAGACACCGAACTTAGGTCTCACAAACAGATCACATCCTCTACTTCCAAGGCTACCTTGGTTCAGTCAGGTGTGGTACCTACTTGTCTCTTGTCCTCGCCACATGTAATCATTGTTTCAGGTATGGGGACCACTACTCTTAGTGTTTTTGTGTCCTTATCAGTTGTCTTATATGTTCCTGAATTTCCTTTTAGTTCGATGTTCACTATTATAATCACTAAATCTCCCCTGTGCTCCATCACATTTTATCCTTCTTCTTGTGTATTTTAGGATCTAAAGACACAGAGGGTGATTGGTAAGCTGGTGAACTTTACTTTTTTTATTTCAAGACAAGACCCTTACTCAAGCCCTTTAGCTTTTGCTATCTCCATTCCAATGGCATTGTCTTGGCTACCCATCACTTCCTACTTTGCGACATCAAGTGAAGAGTCTTAGCAATGTGTCATCTATGTCTTAAGAAGCTTGTAAGTCTAATAAGTTTTACCATGGGCCCTTTAAGTCTAGGATTAACAATCATGTTTCTAGTCCTTCTGAGCTTAATCATCCTAATGTATACTGTCCAATAAAGGACATGTCAACATTTATTTCTTGATTGAGCACATTTCTACCAATGGATATTGTTATTATATAAGATTCGTAGATGATCATTCTTAAATGATATGGTTATTTTTAATGAGATATTTTTCATAATAAAAACATTTCAGACAAAGATCAAAACCCAATCTGACGGCCACTTTAATATTTTGCATTTTGATAAAGCCAAAAAATATATTTATGATCCTGTTTACACCAAAATATGAAAACTTCAAGGAACACGTGGCACGGTTTAACGGCTAGGGATGCGTCAGGAGAGGTTCTAGACAATTAGGCAGTTATGGGGAGAGATCTCCGAAGATCTCGGAAAATGGAGAGTCGTGTCACAACGTGACGTCGTGGAGATGTCAGTCAAAGGCGGTTTAGGGCACCATTATGGCTGCTGCAGGAGAAACTATAAGTACAGCCTAAGTGGCCAGAAAAGAAGGATCTAACGATTAGAAGTCACCACCTATAAACATAGGGACATAGGCCAAAGAAAAAGGATCCACAATCAACTCTCCTACAAACAGCATAGCAGACTTACCTCTGCACTATTTAGTTTCATATTTTTCCTTTTACGTTATAATTTCGTTATCGCTTCGGCGATTTCTTTAAGTTTATTTCAAGCACCTGGTTCAATATAATTGTTGTGTTGCGTTATGCCCAGCATTGTTTCTTGTCGATTCCATCCCTATTTTGCTTGCTCAGTTCTTAATTCACAACAGAAAATAATAGTTTAAGTCCTTAATCTCCAAGGCAGAGAAATCATCTAGAGGTAGTCTTACACCTCATTTCAATCGCCTGAACAGTCATGATTAAGAGCTTCACACTAGTTGCGGCAGATAAGGTCATAAGTGTTTGATATTATTAAGTCCGTTCGGACTTTGACACACCCATACCTTTTACTTCTTATCCATCAAACATCTTGTGTTCAGACATTGCAGTAAAATGGTATTGGTGAACGTCAGAACCATCATTTGTTGGAAGTAATCCAAACTTTTTGTATTCCATATTGATGTAGAACTGTAATCCAAACTTTTGTATTCCATCAAAGACCCAAGCGGTTTGAGGGATACCTGAAAAACCAGAAGTGAATGAACCTACTGAATAGGAGACTGAGAGAGCACCAAGCTGATAGAGAGAGAGGCTTCTACAACTGATCTGTAATCATAGTCTGGCTAGGGATTTGATAAGAGCGTCTTATCCACTGTTGGTACACAGTTACTAGCCATAATTAAATCCATAAATATACTATATCTTGGCCCAGGAAAACAAAGCCCACCAGAAAAATTAAAATTCAGCAAACCGGGAGGTATATTGCTAAAAATTAATAGCCTAACAAATAGAACAAAGCCTAGCAAAACAGCTGATAAGCAATAGCCCAGCAAATAGCAACAAAGCCCAGCAAAAAGCTGAAAATTGATAGCCCAACGCAGTGTTGTGAAAAGCTCGCCAAGGCGAGAAGCAAGGCGAGGCGAGCATATCTCGCCTGGAGGACCCCAGGCGAAGCGAACGTGAGCGAAGCGAGAAAAAAGCGAAAAAGCATTCGCTTTATTATAAAAAGTAAGAAATGTTTGATTTTTAATTTGAACCGTTGGATTGGGCGATTGGAAAAAAAAATTATAAGATGAGATACACCGAATTATCCTCTTATCTAATAAATAAAACCACAAACCCTAATTTATCCCCTAATTTATGCCCTTAGTTACTCGTTGCTCAGGAGGAGGACTACACAGAAGCTCGAAGCTCATTGCTCGCTGCTACATAGAAGCTCGTTGCTCGCTGGACTCNACTACACAAAAGCTCGAAGCTCATTGCTCGCTGCTACATAGAAGCTCGTTGCTCGCTGGACTCAATCGACAGAGGCTCTCTGTCACTGCTCGCTGGACTCGATCGATCGACAGAGCCTCTGCCGCTGCTTGCTGGACTAGATCAATCGACAGAAGCTCGTTGCTCGCTGCTCCTACAGGATCGACTGGTTAGTCTTCTTCTCTTTTTTTCTTCTGTCTGTTAGTCTCCTTCCTCACCGATTCTGCTGTTTTTTTTTTTTTCTGATCACATGTTCTGTCTTTTGCTCCTTCCTCACCAATGTTTTTTTTTTTTTAATTGTTCTGATCACATTTTTTTTTTTTTCTGATAAGCAAAGCTCCGACCAATATTTCTTTTTTTCGTTGTATTGTTGTCTAGTCTATATGAAGATCCCACACAAAAGTCATGTGAATGTGAACAATATTACTGTTTCTTTTTTAAGCACAACTTGTTGCTCGCTGGATTGA